AAACATCATTCATAAGATGTTGAAAAGCAGTCGATGTATTTATGAGTTTAAAGGGCATGACATTATATTCAAAATGTCCATACTTAGTTTGAAAAACACTCTTCCATTCATCTCTTTCTTTAATACAAATTAAGTTTTATGCTCATTGTAGATCTATTTTGGTATAGATCTTTATTTGATTGAGTTAATTAAGAAGTCTTGAAATCAAAGATAATGATACCTATTTTTGATGGTGATCTTATCGAGTCCTTGATAATCCACACACGTCTGTAGAGATCTATCTTTTTTCTTTACAAATAAGATAGGAGCCGTGGCTAGAGATTTAGAATAGCATATGAAGTTCTTTTCTAAGTTTTCATCTATATACTCTTTTAATGCAGCCAACTTATTTTGCAACAAGCTATACATTGGTCCGAATGGTGGTTAAGCTCTTTCTTACAAATCAATTGAACAATCATAAGGTTAATGCTCTGGAAGAATATGTACATTTTTTTTTTCAAAAATGTCTTGGAATTCTCTATATTGGCTAGAAATACTACTTGACATTTTTCTATCATTAAAAATGGGCATAGTATAAATAACAAAAGATAATTCTTCTTTTGTAGTGTATATGAAAGCCCTCATACCTACCAGTAAAGGTTTGGATATAATAGACTTATGTACTTCTACTTCACTAATTTGATCTTAGATCATACTACCAAAAAAGTTAAGATTACAAAAAATCCAATCTACTTGAGGGTTATATTTTTTTAGCCATGATAATTCTAAAATAATTAGATTGAAAGAAAATCTTATTACATTAAATATTACTATACTATCATGATCTTTAATTATTACATCTAAAAGAACAGTCTTAAGGATAATATTTCTAGAAGCTAACAAACGACCATCTATGACTTCTACATGTATGGGTTTAGTTTGCTTGCTTATATTTACTTTTTGATTTTTGACAAAATCTTCATTTATAAAATAGGATGAGGTTCTTGAATCTAATAAGGCAAAGACTTTGTAATTTTTAGGTCCTAAATATATATCTATTGTAAAAGAAGGTGAGAGATCTAAGGAGAGAATAAGACTTTTATTAGATATTACATATGATTCCACTTGCATGATTCCTATTTAACTAAAAAAACTCGTTTTTTAACACATTATCTTCTTTGGTAATTGTGCTCTTTATTTTGTAATTGTATTGCTTCTTGAGACAATGTTGAACAATGTGCTTAGCTTCTCCAAAATATAAACACAAATCTTCTTGGCAATGTCGAATCTTTTTCTATTTCATGAGAAGTTTAAAACATATTGTATCAATTTACATTGATTCCAGTCTTGATAAATATGTTTCAAAAAACTTCATAGGTGCTGCTATTACTTGACTTATTCTTCTCTACTCAAGTCTTTGTTCTTGACACCTTTCAAATAATCAATTGTCACATATAATAGCTTGAACAATAAATTATTTCAAAAAATCTTCTTTTAGCATTGTTAATAACAAATCTTTGAAGCTATCCTTCAATCCATATTAAAATTGATTAATAAAAGCTTTGTCATTCCAATCCACGTAGCAAGTAAGGTTTTAAAATTCAACAGTATATGTGGTGGCTGATTGTGATCTTTATTGTAAAGATAAGAGTTTGATCTCTGCTACTTGTTCTTCATCACTTTCTCCAAATGTAGCTGTAAACACTTGTAAGAATGAATTTAAATCATAAAGAAGTCGTGAATCCTTTTCCATCAAAGGTACAAATTAAGAAAGATCACTTCTAGATAGAAAATCACCTATAAAATCGACTTGAATAAATCCATCTGCATATTGGAAATAGTGTATGCTTAAGTAGAGCTTAATTTATTATAAAAACCATCAAAATTTTGATCTTGTTCCATCAAACTTCTTAGGCATACTAATTCTTGCTTCTCTTGAGCTTGTAGAAACAAGACCCCTTGAATTTGGTTGTGAGGCTAATTGACTTGTTTCCCTCAACTGTACAACTTTTTGATGTAGACTTTGAACTTCTTCCATAGATATAGAAGTAGTGCTTCCATGGTTGACATTGGTGATGCATAAAATTTCTGCCTTAAGAATGTTGACATGCTCATGAAAATCTACAATAGTTACAAATCTATTCTCAATTCCGCTAGAAGTAACATCCATAATCCTTCCTTCCATAGACAACTCAAATAAATCCAAAAATCTAAATTAGATGAGGGTAATCCATAACTTCTAATAAATTTTTTTATAAAGAGGGATAATCCATTTTTTTTAAGGAAAAGATCACTGTTAGAAAATAAGATTTTTTGTTTAAAGGTAGATAGTCTGCAACCTTAAAAACAAAAAAATAGAAGTGGAATAATCCACTCACTTCTAAAACAAGACAAAAGTATTATATTAGCACTCTTGTCAAATTATTAAGGATATGAATCTTGAATAAAGAAAATTCTCAATATACTCTTATGTCACTAAAGAGAACTAAAAAGATACTCAAAAGGTGATGTAATATTAATTAGAATGGCTATTGCCAAAAACAAGAAGAATAGAAAGACTTGAAACAAGACTAAGGACTAGAAAGATATTGATAAGAGTGAAGAAGGCTTCATTCTTTCTTCCATATATAATTATAATTAAGAGCTATGTGGCGATGTTCTATACGACCTCCTATACGTATTGACTTTCCTAGCGACATGTCTTAACTTGCAAGGCAAGTTATCTATGTATGTGCTACATAGTGAGCTTGTTCTACAAGCTATCAACATGTGGTTAGCTTGTTGACCAAGTTTCTAACCTACAAACATATCTAAAGTCAAAACCACATCTTTGAAGCTTCTTGGAAGCTTTTCTAAAAGACTTTATGAAATTAATCTATATTTACTTACTTCTATCTAATCATATAAGTAACTATTGAAGTAAATATATATATATATATATATATATATATATCTGTGATACTACCATTGATTTAAAAAATATAAAATAATAACTTAAGATCTTTTTGAATTTGAAGTACCTTTTAAACTATTCAAAAATATTTATGACAATAAAATATTTTATCTTAAGAACATAAGAAATATGCTTCCTTCTTTTGACAGCCTTCAAAAAATAATCATCAACTTTTTTTAGAATATCAAAGAAGTCTTGATTAATAGTATTCATCTTAATAATATCTAAATTAATTTTGGTATTTATAATTGTACCTTTTTTTATCCAAATTTTATAGAATTACTTGACATATGTACCTTCATTGCTTTTGTTAACTTTATAATATTAAGTTCCAAACTTCTAATAAAGATTTTGGAAGCATCTTATATAAATAATTGTTATACAATTGCATCCATTTAATATTAGAATTTTCTATCATTGAATCTTCAATCATTCAATTTGTTGTATGTAATTATTATACCTCAATATCTATTCTATCAATGCTTTTAATTATAATATTTTTATATTTTTTATTAAATTATTCCTACCTCCTTTCATATCTTTCATGCAATTAGTAGTATTTTGCAACTATTATCCTCTCTTTGGAATCTCCTATAATCTCAGGAACCTAAAATTATCTCCATAACTATAATTCTCTCTTCTTCCAATCCACTACCAACTTTGCTCCAAATTTTTATCTGCAAATCCTTTGAAGTGACAAAAACATCAATTTGTCATCAAAACTACATTGTTACTATGGAAGAATATTTTATCTTTCTTTAAGTCCAATACAACTTGAAATAGTTTAATGTGATGGATGAAAAATAAAAAAACTATATACATAGATCTTTATTTTTTATCTTTGAAAAAAAGAACAATCATTATTCATAATTATAAGAGATTAAATTAGGAGTAAATAAACAAGAAAAATAATGCAAAGTATGATTGATCACATATAACTTCTAATAATATAAAGGAATTGGATTTAATAGAATACTTATACTAGTTACAAAATAGAACATAATTTAAACTATAAACTCTTGATAATGCATACATAATATTCAATAAATGGCTTGTGCATCATTTTATTTTCAAAACAACCTTTCTAAATGATAAGCTCAAAAATAAGGTATTTATGCATCAATCCTAATCTACATCTCTCCCAACTCAACATATCTTATTTAAAAATTAGATTGAATAATATATAGGATTAAATAAGAATTTGGCACATGGTTTAATAAGATCAATTGCTTCCTCTTCAAACACTCCATGGCCAAATTTTCCTTTGACAATAAGCTATTGTAGCTTAAAACTCACAACAAGATGGTAATTCTTGTGTTTTTTTTTATTGTCAAACTTTTTGCAATGAACAATCATTACAATAAAATTAATTAGCTTCAATATAAATTTCATCAAAAATTCAATATAATTAGTCTCAAACTTTATCGCAAGTACCTTAGTATCAAATTTGATCAGTCTTTACTTGGAATAAAACTTTGCCAAACCAAATATGCTTGCACCATTGTCTTTAAAGTTAATATGAGCAATATCAATCCATCCAAACTGCATCTATCTATTAACCTTCAACTTTACAAAGAAATAAGAACCTTACTTATGGATCCAATATAATATGTATGCATTGTTAAGAAATTGGTTTCTTTAATCAATATTCATTTCAACCTCATATATAATGTTAATTTGGTATCTTTATTCATACAAGCTCTATAATAAGCTCATATAAATCTTATAAATCACATCTTATATTATTTCTAAAATACAACAATATTTGGCCTATTCTATCTGTAATTAAGTATGTTTAATTTTATTGATTATATCAATGCCAACTAAGAGGGAGACCTTCATCAAAACAAATCTGAAGTAGCTTTTGTCTTTACAATTAATGCGACATCTATTACATAGTTTATTGACAAACAAACATGCATAGGACTAAGCTCCACAAAATCAAAATACTAGGTATTAATCAACACATCCAAAGAAGCTATATGGCTTTAGAACTCATATTTGAAATTGGAATTTAGAAAAATCAAAGCTATACAACTACATTATAATGATAAAAGTACAATTAATATAGCCAAAAATTCCATGTATAATTTTAAAACAAAGTACTTTGAGATTCACTTAAACTATGTCTAAGACATGATAAAAAAGAAGAAAATTGAAGTTTCATATATACCAACACATTAAAAACCTACTAAGATATTTATAAAAGCTTTATCCATCATCAAGTTTAAAAATTGGCACAAGCTACTAAATCTTACAAGCCACTAAACTTGAAAATATATTAATTTTGTAGATACGATTGGCTTCTATTTGTGACAAAAAACTTATAGAAACAGCTCCATTATATCTTGTCACATTATGCTTATAATTTGCTTAAGAAGCATAAATATCAAGGTATTTTTTTCAATACTCTGCATAAAATTTTTTAGAAAATACAACTAAGAGATGCAATCTTTAAAGATTCATCTTGCAAGTAATTAACAAAGGACCATCTTGATTCCAAGATACATAAGAAAAAAAGACAAGTAAAATAAGTAATAAATAAGGAAGTAAAATCTATTGTAGACACACGAATTATAAAATCTTAAACTTGTTAAATGGAAGTTGGAAGAAGTAGTGTATATTAGGAGCTCACCAAAATCATTAAGACTAGTTTGATCATCCACAATAATAGAATCTAAAATTCTAGAGTAATACAACAACCAACCAATACACCTCTAAAAAAAAATCACAATAATGCTATGAACCCAAATAAACCTCCACTAGTTGGACGTTTGTTTTACTTCATAAAAAGTGACTTGACTAGGTGAATTTAAAAGTAAGACCATTATTCAAATTTTAATCCAATCATTACTTGTTATTGTTAAAACACCAAGTTATTATGGAAGTTACGAGTTGCTGTAAATAAAAACTAAGAGGGATGAAGAGAGGGCACCTTGATAACGACTAAGAATTTAGGGCAGCAACTCCCTTCTACTCCAAAATTTGCCAACCATTTGTATCAGCTTTAATTCTGATGATTTTTGCTTGGTTAGAAACCTAACTTGAAGACGCTCCTGTTCCAAGAATCTGTGTGGCAATCCAATACCTGAGGCATGCGCAATGCTCCTTCAAAGTTGAATAACTGAGACCGCCACGGCAGCTTACCACCCTTCACTACAAAATGCACCAAAAATTTGGATCTACTTCAAACGTAATCAAACTTGTGCCATTGGAAGCTAAACTTGTATGTGATTTTATTCTTAAAATTTCAGAATGTTTTAAGTAAACGGCACTGAGAAATGTCTTTTCAAAAACTGGTGACCCAAACTGTCAAGGCAGCCGACCCCCTCGCACTCAAAAATTCACAAAAAATTTGTTTTAGCTTCAAATTGAGCAAGCCTAAGCTCTTTGGAAAGCTGACAATAAGAGGTATGTGATTAAAAATATTCACTACAAAAATTAAAAGGATCAAAGACTGATTGGGAAAAATCCGAAGCCCTTTAAACCCAGTTAACTATGGAAGTATTTGGAAACCACTAATTCTAAAGGAGTACCTTCTAAACCACAGTAAGCACCACCCACAACACAAAATCAATGATCACACATTCTCAAGGTGCCCAATGAGCATTAGGATCCAAAATGAAATTGGAATTAGGATTTTAGGTCAAGATTTGACATAGCTTCGCCATTCATCAAAAAAGAGAGAGAGGGCTTGGAAAACCAAGCCACTCTTATACTATTGAGTGGTGGCTTAAGGGAGGGTGGCCACATCTCTACCCTTGATCTCTAAGATCCCTAATGTAGATCTATGGCCTTCATTCATCCAAGAGCTAATCTGGTCACTAAGACTGATGGCTCTTGTAAGTGGTCAAAAAAACATTTTTTTTGTAAATCTAACTTCACCACTATGTTTAAAACACCTTTTTATGCTAAGATTGACTACTCATCTCTCCCAATCCACATTCATATGTAATTTTTATGAACTTTTTACCTCCAAGAGTTTTGGCAATTACTGAAAATTCCTTCAAAAATGACATCTTCATGGCTCCACTTGTAATTTGGTGGAGGGATGTTGATCTTGTTTTCTTCACTCCATGAGGCAAATCCAATGCCGCCACTACATTTGGAAGGCTTCCATTAATTAGAAAAGCCACCTTGTTGCTTGAATTTATTGAATTAGGAGAAAAATTTCAAATTGCCCTTGCTAATTTTCACTAGAATCCTTTTTAGAAGCTTATGATTTTAATTCACTCTAAATCATATGAGATGATTGTAAGTGAATTCATAGGCTTTCAATCAATTCTTATAGAAATGACTATAATTTCTAAATTACTAAAACTAATTAATTTGCTATTCTAATTTTCTAAAGTCTATGATTTTGGTCCTAATTAACCTAATTTAAAGAATTAGGTTAATATTTATACCATCAAAGGTTATAACCTTCAAAATTCTACAAAATTAGATTTTATTTATATAAATCATGATCTAACTTGTTCAATTACTATAAAATATGAGAAAAAATATAAAATTTAATCTTGGAACATAATCTGGAGCTCACAAATCCACACATCTATGAAAAATATATTCCATTGCAACCAAATTAAATAAAGTTGAATGAAAAAAAATAACAACTAAATTATATCAAGAAGGAAAAAACTTACAATACTTAGTTCTTTTATAAAATTCTATATATTAAGTATCTTCAAAAATATAGTTAGGAATTAATTAATATATATTATCATATAAATTACAAGATTATAAATAAAAGACAAATAAAATATATCAATTAGCTTAGACTCCAAGATGCACATAAGAATTAGATAAAATCTTAAATTGAATCTTCCTACAGACATCTTGCATTTATCATAAAGTAATAATAATATAATTATGATTTAATAATGGACTAATCCTTGTAATTGGCATTATGTAAATATTATGTATAATAAAATAATTTGATGAATAAACTCTCTTCATTCACTTATATTCTTAAAAACCATATATTTCATATTTCACACTAAAAAATCAACTTATATTACTAAGATATAATAATGATATGATTTCTTTTTTAATAACATATTATTTCAAATATAAAAATTATCCATTTTAAAGGTGTTAGTTTTTTGATAGAATTTTTGTTAATAAAAAAACATAAAAAAATACAAAGAATCTACTATACAAAAAAAATAGCATCATGCATTCTTTTAAATTCAGAAGCCAATGCATTTGTGCCCTTGTGTAAGAGAGCAATGTCTTGTATAGCTACTTCATGATGTACTTTGCCTTAACCTATTGAAACACCAATAAATTATTTTTTTTTGCAAGATTTAGATTATAAAAGAGTGCAAAATGACTCCCTATCATTAATAAGAAAAAAAAATTATCAACAATTATTGTATCTATTTATTTGAATTTTAAGAAGAATTTTATATAATTTAATATATAAATATTTTATTTTATAGAGTATATGAAATTGAATTACATTCATTACTTCATTACAATTGGCTTTAGAATGAATTCAAATCATAAAGGAGTCATGAATCCTTTTCTATCCAAGGTACAAACCAAAAAAGAATACTTTCAAATAAAAGTGCACCTATGAACTCAACTTGAGTAAATCCATCAAGGTATTAAAAGAGATGGAACCTTAGATAGAGCTTGACTTATTACAAAAATCGTTAAAATTTTGATCTTGTTCCATCAAACTTCTCCAGTATACTAATCCTTGTCCCTTTTGTACTTACAGAAAGAAAACTTCTTAGATTTAATTATAAAGTTGATTTTATTTTTTTTCTTCAATCGTACAACTTCTTGACATAGATTTTAAACAACTTTCATAGGCATAGGATTAATATTTCCATAGTTGATGCTTGAGATGGATGAAATTTCTATCCTAAAATATTAACAAGTTTTTGAAGATCAGCTCTAGTTACAAATCTATTTTCACTTCTCTTAAGTATAGTATCCATGATGTCTTTTTTTTCCTTTCAAAAAATCTAATAAATCCACAAGTCAAATTAGAAGAAGATAATCCACAAGTTCTAACATCAAATAATTTTTTTTACAAAGAAGGATAATTTTATTTTTTAAAGAAAGATTTTACTATTAAAAAACTAAATATTTTGTTTAAAAATAGATAATTGATGATCTTCAAAATATAATAATAGAATTAGGATATTCTACTCACTTCTAAAACAAGTCAAAAATAATAAGTTAGTACTCTTGTCAAACTATAAATGACATAAATCTCAAAGGAAAAAAACCTCATAATATTCTTGTGTCATTCAAAAAGATTAAAAAATCACTCAAAGATGGTATAGTATTAAACATGAATGTCTATTGCCAAAAATAAGAAGACTAGAAAGTCTTAAAATAAGACTAAAGACTCGAAAGGTATTGACAAGATTAAAAAAGGCCTCACAATTATCTCCATATATACTCTTAACTAAGAGCTATGTGACAATGTTTTATAGGACCTTTAAAATATATTAAATTTATAAGACACATATCTTAACTTACAAGGCAAGTTTTTTCTATATATGCCACATAATTAGCTTATTTTGTAAGCTATCAATAAGTGATTAACTTGTTGATCAAGTTTGTAATCTATCAATCAATTACATACACATATAAAATCAAAATAGCATCTATGAAGCTTCTATAAAGCTTTTTTAGAAAGTATTATGAAATAAATCTACTTTTATCTACTTCTATTTAATCATATAGATAAATATTAGAATAAATATATATATATATTTTCAACATTATGATGTTTAATTAATAAGACCAAATCTTATATAAATTAATATAGTATATTTTTAATTATTCATTAATAAAAGAAGAGTCAACATTGTCAAGAAAGATTGTGTTTATATTATAAAAGATCCAAGATATAATTCAAATACAACCACTAGTAAATTAGGTCACTAATTGCCTTTAGATTGGAAGTGTTGACTTCAACTTCCTATATCTCCTTCAATCTAGTTTGGAATTCATCAAGCAATATGTGATTAATGTAGCCAAAAAAAAAAAAAACTCTTTCTAATCTCAATTGTTGATATTTTATTCTTTCTCATATACATGTGTTATATCCAAAAGAATGATAGCAAGTACGAAACCAATACCTTAACTTTGAGTGCTTATATTTCTTTCATAAAAAACTCCAAATCATTCAAATTTTGCACTAAAACTATACCCAAAATCATAAACTTCTTGATCTTAGCCTCTTGAATTCAAACATTCTTGAAAGAATAATCCTAATCCCTAATAAGACTTAAGGCAGCCTCTTTGAAGTCTATTAGGTATGAATTTCGGCCAATAAGAATGGAGATTTTCATCATCCATCTCCATTCATCTATATGGTTGGTCTAATTACTTTTTTTATATTAAAACTCTTCTTTGATCTTTTTTCTAATAAATTTTATATAATATGTGTCCTAAACACTATATAAAAGAAACAAAATAAGGTTTTAAGAATCACCAATAACTAATAAAGATAGCTCTAAATATATAAAAATTATTATCAATATAAAATTAACTTCAATGTTAGTTTTTTTAAACTAATTACTTCAAAGTAATTATATTTTGTAACCAACTAAAATCTAATAACATGGCTTTCATTATATTGTATAATAAATTGTATATATATATATATATATATACATATACATATATGTAAATCATTTTTACATGATAGCCAAACTAAAATATAATAATGCTTTATCTTATTAGATTTGGAAGCCTCAATTTGTTTTATATACAAAAAATTTAATAAATAGTATATATATATATATTTTTTTAAAATTAAATTTATGCATATAAAATTTAAAGATGATTATTTGTTATCTTTAATAAATGTTAATCACAAAAATATTTTTATAGAGATGGCATTTATTTGACATAATAGATTAGTAATATTTAATATTATTAAATTTCCTTCTAATTTACTTATTTGAAATTTATTATTTGTAAAGAAATAAAATCCTTGAATAGACTAAATTTCTTACAACTTTAATTTTTTTCATAGCATAACTTAGACTTCTATTATAAAAGTAGAAATTCATAAGTATAATAGAGCAAAATTCTTATTGATAAGTATAAGAGCTTTTATGTATGCTTCAAAAGAAGTGTCACCTTTTGTTGTTTATTCTATACTCATTTTTTACTACTAAAAGACTTCAAATAGCATGCCAAAGGAATATAAGAATTATCAAGATATTTTTTAGAAGAATGATATAAATATTTTTTTTAAAGCATTATATTTATGATTGATCTATTGATCTTTAAGAAAGAGCTTAATCATCATTTTGACTAACATATAGCTTATCTTAGAAAAAATTGACTTCATATGTGTCATCAAATCGACTCACTAGTTATTTTAGAACAAAAAGATGTATTTAGAGTTGTTAAAACCACAATATATGGTGAATAGTAAAGAAAATTTTAGACAAATATAAAATTAGAATGTTAGTTGTAGAATTGGAGTCTTAGTAAGTCTTAGAAGCAATTATCTTATTTAATTTAGTATTTTTTACTTATTATTAAATATTAAGGATTATTAAATAAGATCAATATTTATATTAGCCTTCTCTCTATACATATTACTTATAAGAAAAACTATAAATGTTAGTTAGTAGTTAAAAGAAGTATAAAAAAGAACATCATATCTTTTTAGTTATTTATATAGAAAGTAGGA